ATCATGGGAGCTACAGGAAGTGGAAAATCCTCGTGAGTATACAGTGTGTGTAGAGTTTGTTAAAGTAAAGAGTGGTATATTATAGTGTGTGTGTGTGTGTGTCAGGTTCCTGGATGTGCTGGCTGCTAGGAAGGACCCGCTGGGCCTATCAGGGGAGGTTCTGATAGACGGAGTTCCTCAACCTCCAAACTTCAAGTGTCTCTCAGGATATGTGGTGCAGGTGGGTCACCATGGAAACGCCCTCGTTCCATACTCAAATGCTCGTTTCATAGTCAAATGTAAAGGCCACCGATTGGACACGACCGTGGCTTTGGTGCTCATGTCCGTACCGGGTGTATGGGCGGTCCCAGATGGATGTCCAGGTAAAGGTGTTCAAACCCGCAGAACAGAAGGGTACGCTCAAGGTCCACACGTAACCTTTAACTCAAACTGAATAGTTTTACCATGAATTACCGACAATAGCAACTCTCTCTCTCTCTCTCTCTCTCTCTCTCTCTCTCTCTCTCTCTCTCTCTCTCGCTCCCCCCCTACCTCCCCCCCCGCCCCCCCACGTCTCTCTCTCCCCTCTCCTCCACTACCTCCAGGATGATGTAGTGATGGGGACTCTGACAGTTAGGGAGAACTTTAGTTTCTCAGCGGCGCTGCGTCTCCCCAGCAGTGTCCCCCAGAAAGAGAAAGACCAGCAGGTGGACCGTCTCATCGAGCAGCTAGGCCTCGTTAAAGTAGCGGACTCCAAGGTACACTGGTGTGTGTGTGTGTGTGTGTGTGTGTGTGTGTGATTGTGTTTGTGTTTGTGTGTGTAGCTGAGTCCAAGGTACACTAGTGTGTGTGTGTGTGTGTGTGTGTGTGTGTGTGTTTAGGTGGGGACCCAACTGATCCGGGGGGTGTCCGGTGGGGAGAGGAAGAGGACTAACATCGGCATGGAGCTCATCATCAACCCCCATGTGCTCTTCCTGGACGAACCCACCACCGGCCTGGACGCTAGCACCGCTAACTCAGTGCTACTGCTGCTAAAGAGGTCTGCTAACATGCTAACAACGCATACACACAACCAACGGAGTGCAAATGTACACACTAAATGACAAGTAGACCACCTCTTTATCGCTACTTCTCCTCTGTTCTCGCTCTCGCGCTCTAGGATGGCTCATGGTCGCACCATCATTCTGTCCATCCATCAGCCTCGCTACTCCATCTACCGTCTGTTCGACAGCCTCACACTCCTGGTCAACGGAAGGCAGGTCAGCAACCAAGCCAACCAGCTAGCACGACAACACAAATACGCTAAGCTGTTAGCATGCCAACAATCCAACCAGCTGTGGCTATGTTGGAGAATGCTACCAAGAATCATCAATGTTTTAACAATATTCATAAAATGTATATTTTTGCTAGGTTTTCCATGGACCAGCACAGAGCGCACTGGAATACTTCTCAGACATAGGTAAGCACCGTGTTAAGAATAAATAATAACATCTGTATCAACAGGCTGTAATATCTACACATAGCCACAAAGGAATAGAAATAAATATATAAGTTGTATTAACCGCACCTGGCCACCAGATGGCAGCATACATAATACACTGGGGGCGGGCGCTCAACACTAGCCAATCAGAGCGTAGTATGCGTCATAGAGGCCACGCCTGCCCAGGTACTACCAAACTACAGATCCGGGGGGGAGGGCAGAAACCCCCAGGCAGCGTATCTGAACAGATACCCAGCTAAAGGGTCGCTCCACGCGTGAACTATACATACCTCTCCTTTTGCTTCATAGATAATAGACCTAAAGCTAAACAAATAAAGTGAGTTAAAAGCGATCCTGTGTCGGCGGCCTTCTTCCTCAAAGAACATCACTACAACCGTTCAACCACATCTAGTACAATACAAACGGTTAGCATTCTTAACCTGTGGCTGTTTGGGAATTTCCCAGGATACACCTGTGAGCCCCACAACAACCCAGCCGATTTCTTCCTTGATGTCATCAACGGAGACTCCACAGCCGTGAACCTCAACAATACAGACATAGAGGGTGTGTGTGTGTGTGTGTGTGTGTGTGTGTGTGTGTGTGTGTGTGTGTGTGTGTGTGTGTGTGTGTGTGTGTGTGTGTGTGTGTGTGTGTGTGTGTGTGTGTGTGTGTACATTACAAGGACATATACTAAATATGTGTACTAAATGTTCATCTCCTCCTCCAGAGGAGTCAGGTGAGGGCTCCTCCACTAAGGTGGAGGAGGTGCTGGTGCAGGAGTACAAGAGCAGCTGCTACTTCAGGGACACCAAGGCTGAGCTCGGTATGTACATAACAAGGTTGCAGGTTCGATTCCCTGAGCTGCAACCACATTAATCCATCTGAACAAGACTAAGATAGAATTGAGCTTTACTTGCCCCAATGGCAACACAGTCCTCAAGGCTCTGTTAGTGGTGACTGTTAGTAGTGACTCTGTGAGTAGTGACTCTGTGAGTAGTGACTGTGAGTAGTGACTCTGTGAGTAGTGACTCTGTGAGTAGTGGCTCTGTGAGTAGTGACTCTGTGAGTAGTGACTCTGTGAGTAGTGACTGTGAGTAGTGGCTCTGTGAGTAGTGACTCTGTGAGTAGTGACTCTGTGAGTAGTGACTCTGTGAGTAGTGACTCTGTGAGTAGTGACTGTGAGTAGTGGCTCTGTGAGTAGTGACTCTGTGAGTAGTGACTCTGTGAGTAGTGACTGTGAGTAGTGGCTCTGTGAGTAGTGACTCTGTGAGTAGTGACTCTGTGAGTAGTGACTGTGAGTAGTGACTCTGTGAGTAGTGACTCTGTGAGTAGTGACTGTGAGTAGTGACTCTGTGAGTAGTGACTCTGTGAGTAGTGACTGTGCGTAGTGACTCTGTGAGTTGTGGCTCTGTGAGTAGTGACTCTGTGAGTATTGACTCTGTTAGTAGTGACTGTAAGTAGTGACTGTTAGTAGTGACTCTGTCAGTAATGTATCTGTTAGTAGTGGCTCTGTCAGTATGTATCTGTTAGTAGTGGCTCTGTCAGTAATGTATCTGTTAGCAGTGGCTCTGTTGGTAGTGGTTGCTGGTAGTTGTGGTCGGACGGCAGGACGTTGTCTTCACTGTTCGGGGCTGTGATGGGTTCCTGTCTGATGGGTCAGCTGCCATTCTTCTGGCCAGGGATGCAGTGTGGGGGTCAGAAAGCTGTGGGATTTGGAAATGCTAAGCTAAGCTAGTGCTGTGTCTCCAGAGAGGATAACCCAGGTGAAGGAGGCTAAGCTAAGCTAGTGCTGTGTCTCCAGAGAGGATAATCCAGGGGAAGTTAGTGGTGACGGCTCCTGCCTCCCGGACCATCACCTACACCACCGGCTTCTTGACCCAGTTCAAATGGGTCCTCAAGAGAACCTTCAAGAACCTCCTACTCAACCCTCAGACCTCCATAGCACAGGTACACACCTCTGCATAGTGTGTATAGTGTGCAGTATGTATAGTGAGTGTGTATATGGTGTGTATAGTGTGTAATATTTATAGTAAGGTGTGTATACTAGTATAACATATGTATAGTGAGGTTTGTATAGTGTGTAGTACAGAGTGTGTAGTATGTATAGTGAGGTGTGTATACTAGTGTGTAGTACACAGTGTGTAGTATGTATAGTGAGGTGTGTATACTAGTGTGTAGTACACAGTGTGTAGTATGTATAGTGAGGTGTGTATACTAGTGTGTAGTACACAGTGTGTAGTATGTATAGTGAGGTGTGTATACTAGTGTGTAGTACACAGTGTGTAGTATGTATAGTGAGGTGTGTATACTAGTGTGTAGTACACAGTGTGTAGTATGTATAGTGAGGTGTGTATACTAGTATAACATATGTATAGTGAGGTTTGTATAGTGTGTAGTACACAGTGTGTAGTATGTATAGTGAGGTGTGTATACTAGTGTGTAGTACACAGTGTGTAGTATGTATAGTGAGGTGTGTATACTATTATAACGTATGTCTAGTGAGGTTTGTATAGCGTGTAGTACACAGTGTGTAGTATGTATAGTGAGGTGTGTATACTATTATAACGTATAGTGAGGTTTGTATAGTGTGTAGTACAGAGTGTGTAGTATGTATAGTGAGGTTTGTATAGTGTGTAGTACAGAGTGTGTAGTATGTATAGTGAGGTGTGTATACTAGTGTGTAGTACACAGTGTGTAGTATGTATAGTGAGGTGTGTATACTATTATAACGTATGTCTAGTGAGGTTTGTATAGCGTGTAGTACACAGTGTGTAGTATGTATAGTGAGGTGTGTATACTATTATAACGTATAGTGAGGTTTGTATAGTGTGTAGTACAGAGTGTGTAGTGTGTATAGTGAGGTGTGTATACTAGTATAACGTATGTATAGTGAGGTTTGTATAGTGTGTAGTACAGAGTCTGTAGTATGCATAGTAAGTGTTTATGTGTGTTTAGGTGGCGGTGACATTGTTTCTGGCTCTGATCGTGGGTGTCATTTTCTTTGATGTTACGAATGACCAAAAGGGCCTGCAGAACAGGTACTATTATATGTTGTAGTGGTGTAATGTTTAGATGTTCAGTTCTCTCTCTCTCAGGTTCAGAGCTCTTTTCTTCATCACTAATAACCAGTGCTTCAGTGTACTCTCTCTCTCTTTTTCTCTCACTCTCACTCTCTCACTCTCTCAGGTTCGGAGCTCTGTTCTTCATCACTATTAACCAGTGCTTCAGTTCTCTGTCAGCAGCTGAACTATTCATCTCAGAGAGGAAGATCTTTATGTAAGGAACACACACACACACACACACACACACACACACACACACACACACACACAGTATGAATATATAAGTGGCTACTATGCTGTCTGTCTACTTCCTGTCTCTCTAGGCATGAGTATATAAGTGGCTACTACCGCCTGTCTGTCTACTTCCTGTGTAAGATCCTGTCTGACATCCTCACCTTGAGAACGATCCCTGCCATCGTCTTCAGCTGTGTTGCCTACTTCATGATCGGTACACATACACACACACACACACACACACAGCAGTGTAGTGGCTAGGGTGTTCGACTCCCAATTGAAAGGTTCTGGGTTCGATCCCCAATGTCTGCAGTTCAATCCCCGATGTTGAGCCCTGATGTCTAACGTGTATAGAGCGTAACAGTGACCGCCCCTTTTTAACAGCTCCGGTGCCGGAAGTAAATTTCCCATGCATTTATCTCGTCCACTTTTCGTAGAATCCTTATAAAAAGAGTATTAAGCCTTTAACCAAGCCGATCGTTCGTTATGGTAGTCGTGACCATATTATATTTGATTCGGGCATAAAAAGAATTTGGAAAACGGAAGAAAAGCCAAAGGTACTTTATTTTGTTGACCGAGTGAGGAACTACTCATCCCGAATCAAACATAATATGGTCACGACTACCATAACGAACGATTGGCTTGGTTCAAGTCTTAATACTCTTTTTATAAGGATTCTACGAAAAGTGGACGAGATAAATGCATGGGAAATTTACTTCCGGCACCGGAGCTGTTAAAAAAGGGGCGGTCACTGTTACGCTCTATTGGCTTCCCTGAGCTGGAACCCCGCCCTCCTCCTTAGGGCATTGTCACATCAGGGTACCAAATACACTTGACCCCAAATTCCAGTTTGCTGATTAGTGTGAACACTGTGTACCGTACCCTCAGGTCCACTTAAAAAGGTTCACGTGTCCTCAGGTACGGTTGACATCAGGTGTGAAAACTACTGTACCAAAACACGGAAGTGGACCACTATTCTGTGTCTGCCAGTAAATCTCATCCTCTGAACTGCATGGCCATTGCTGATGAATTAGGAAGGCAGGTGAAAGGGTTCTTCTTCTTCTTCTTCTTCTTCTTCTTCTTCTTCTTCTTCTTCTTCTTCTTCTTCTTCTTCTGCTTCGTGTTTATTGGCGGATCTATATGTCTAACAAACTATAGGTCGCAATCTATATGTCTAACCTAACCTATATGTTGATCTATATGTCTTACCTAACGGGAAGTTCCGTCAGTTGACAAAGTGACTGACACACTGAATCCACTAAAATCAAGTGTGTGTGTGTGTGTGTGTGTGTGTGTGTGTGTGTGTGTGTGTGTGTGTGTGTGTGTGTGTGTGTGTGTGTGTGTGCAGGTCTGAAGGCGTCTGTCTCAGCGTTCTTCCTCTTCATGCTGAGCGTGGCATTAGTGGCGTACACGGCCACCTCTATGACCATGGCTATCTCTGCTGACCAGACGGTGGTCGCCATCGCCAACATTTTCATGACCATCACCTTCGTCTTCATGATGGTCAGACTCACACACACATGCGCACACGCACACCTGAACACACGTACACACGCCTGAATAATCTTAACTGTATGTTTGTGTGTGTGTGTGTGTGTGTGTGTGTGTGTGTGTGTGTGTGTGTGTGCGTGCGTGTAGATCTTTGCAGGTCTCCTAGTGAATCTTACCAGCATCCCTGACTGGCTCTCCTGGCTGAAATACTTCAGTATCCCTCGATACGGACTCACAGTGAGTACACGCACACACACGCACACACACACGCACACACACACATATACACACACATACACACACACACACACACATACATACACACAAATGTACACACACGCTAATAATATATTAATTATTTATTTGTCTCTCTCTCTCCCCCTCGCCCTCTCTCCAGGCGCTGCAGATAAATGAGTTTCTGGATCTTAAGGTCTGTTCCGGTAACATTTCTGCTATTCCAGGGATCATGTAAGACACACACACACACACACACACACACACACACACACACACACACACACACACACACACACACACTACTAAGTACTTCATCAGGTCCTCCCCATGGCTCCTAGTCTTAGTCCCACATTAATGTCTTGTTCCACTTCAATAAGACCAGCGTGGTGTTAACAGTGTGTGGTGTATAACAGGGTGGTGTTAACAGTGTGTATAACAGGGTGGTGTATAACAGGGTGGTGTTAACAGTGTGTATAACAGTGTGTATAACAGGGTGGTGTATAACAGGGTGGTGTTAATAGTGTGTATAACAGGGTGGTGTATAACAGGGTGGTGTTAACAGTGTGTATAACAGGGTGGTGTTAACAGTGTGTATAACAGGGTGGTGTATAACAGGGTGGTGTTAACAGTGTGTATAACAGGGTGGTGTATAACAGGGTGGTGTTAACAGTGTGTATAACAGGGTGGTGTATAACAGGGTGGTGTTAACAGTGTGTATAACAGGGTGGTGTATAACAGGGTGGTGTTAACAGTGTGTATAACAGGGTGGTGTATAACAGGGTGGTGTTAACAGTGTGTATAACAGGGTGGTGTATAACAGGGTGGTGTTAACATTGTGTATAACAGGGTGGTGTATAACAGGGTGGTGTTAACAGGGTGGTGTTAACAGTGTGTATAACAGGGTGGTGTATAACAGGGTGGTGTTAACAGTGTGTATAACAGGGTGGTGTATAACAGGGTGGTGTATAACAGGGTGGTGTTAACAGTGTGTATAACAGGGTGGTGTATAACAGGGTGGTGTTAACAGTGTGTATAACAGGGTGGTGTATAACAGGGTGGTGTTAACAGTGTGTATAACAGGGTGGTGTATAACAGGGTGGTGTTAACAGTGTGTATAACAGTGTGTATAACAGGGTGGTGTATAACAGGGTGGTGTATAACAGTGTGTATAACAGGGTGGTGTTAACAGTGTGTATAACAGTGTGTATAACAGGGTGGTGTATAACAGGGTGGTGTTAACAGTGTGTATAACAGTGTGTGTTGTGGGTCTTCAGATGTACAGGGGAAGCCTTCCTAGAGAACCAGGGTATCGATTTCTCTGTCTGGGGCTTCTGGCAGAACCACGTTGCCCTGGCGATCATGACCTGCTGCTTCCTCTCCATCGCTTATATCAAACTACGCTTTATCAAAAAGTTCACCTAACGGCCAGCTATGCATGTTTACGACCAGTAGAACACTGTTTGGACTGGGTGGCTCCCATAGAACCAGTAGAACACTGTTTGGACTGGGTGGCTCCCATAGAACCAGTAGAACACTGTTTGGACTGGGTGGCTCCCAGTAGAACCAGTAGAACACTGTTTGGACTGGGTGGCTCCCAGTAGAACCAGTAGAACACTGTTTGGACTGGGTGGCTCCCAGTAGAACCAGTAGAACACTGTTTGGACTGGGTGACTCCCAGTAGAACACTGTTTGGACTGGGTGGCTCCCAGTAGAACCAGTAGAACACTGTTTGGACTGGGTGGCTCCCATAGAACCAGTAGAAGACTGTGGTTTTAATGGGGAAGGGAAACATAATTTAGTATTTTCATCAATGTTGATTTCAGTATTAACTTTGTATTGATTTATAAATGTTTTGTATATTACTGACATGTGTGATCTTTTTATAAAATGATTTATTGTATTTTTTTTAGATATGAAGATATTATTCATGTTTAAGGCTAATACCATTGGTGGAATGTTGAAGCTTCACTCCTAACATTTATTATGATTAAAATTATGAATTAAAAAAACTATGGGGGTATTATTGAGACAATATTATGTGTGTGTGCATATCTCAATCTGTGTGTGTGCAATAAGATTTGTGTGTATTCACATTTGTGTGTATTCACATTTGTGTGTGCGTAGTAAGATTTGTCTGTCTGTATTCACATTTGTGTGTGTGTAAAAAAAATGACACTGGCCGGTCGTCGGAAACTTCGAACAACTCATGGGCTTTACAATGCGTTTATTTATGAGGAAAACAAACGTTAACTTACCCATGAGTTGTTCGAAGTTTATATTATATTTTCTATCTAAAAATGGCCAGTGTCATTAACGGCAGCCATCTTACCCATGACAATGACACGCTTAACATCACTGGGTGCTACGCGCCAACTAGTGGTGTGTAGACTGTATTGCGTGAAGTTACAGACAAATCGTTTTTACACACGGATCGCATTTGCAGATCTGCACGGCAGAAGTGTGCCAAAAACCACGTGTAAAAAGACGGCCAATCAGAGCTCCCGCTGATGACAGACATTTACAGATCTCAGTACGCATTTTTTTTACACACAAATGTGAATACAGACACACAAATCTTATCACAAACACACACATGTGAATACAGACACACAGATTTTTTTTACACACACACAAATGTGAATACAGACAGACAAATCTTGTTACGCACACACAAATGTGAATACACACAAATGTGAATACACACAAATCTTATTACACACACACAGATTGAGATACGCACACACACATAATATTGTCTCAATAATACCCCCATAAAAAACACTGTGTGTGGTGTGTGTGTGTGTGTGTGTGTGTGTGTGTGTGTGTGTGTGTGTGTGTGTGTGTGTGTGTGTGGTGTGTGTGTGTGTGTGTGTGTGTGTGTAACCAAACCCTAAATAACGGAAGGATTAAAGAGATTGTTGAATGTTGTGTAATATGTCTCATTTCTCTTGTTGTACAGTCTAGACAGGAGCTTACCTCTCTCTCTCTCGCTCTCTCTCTCTCTCGTCAGTTCATTCTCTCTGACTCACTCTATATGTCCTTTGTTGTTTAACTATATTTTCCTCATTATATCGCTCGCTCTCCTTTCACCATGCGTCGCCGGTGTCGCTCGTCCATTTTACTGTTTGCTCTCCACCTGGTCTACAATTCTGGAGCTCAGGAGCTCGACTTACCTGAAGGTGAGTGTGTGTGTGTGTGTGTGTGTGTGTGTGTGTGTGTGTGTGTGTGTGTGTGTGTGTGTAAGAGAGACGTATCTTATCCTATTTTTGGTAATTTATTTACATGCCAATAAAGCCCTTTTATTGTGTGTATAGATAGTAAAAATGTGTCCCTCTCTTAGCCACGCCCCCTCCCTCTCTGTCTGGTTTCCCACCACCAGAGCTTGATGGGCTAGCTGTTGGCGACACCTGCAGGATTGTGGCTATTACTACACCTGCTGTCCCCGCCCCCTCCTCCAACTCCCCCACTTCTTCCCCCTCCTCCACCTCCCCCACTCCCTCCCCCTCCACCATCTCCCCCACTCCCCCCCCCCTCCTCCACATCCCTCACTCCCTCCCCCCCCTCCATCTCCCCCACTCCCTCCC